CAGCATGATAACATGCTAGACGATGTTCCTTTTCAACAAAGAATAGACTCGTTTTTTCAATTAGATGGATGCCCTTCCCAGTACTCTTTGGTGGTACGAAACTGGCTGAATACAGAGTATCCACAGAGATGGGTGGATCGTGGTGGTCCAGTTGGGTGGCCTCCGCGATCGCCTGATCTAACACCTTTGGATTTTTTTGTTTGGGGATTTATTAAGGATGCAGTTTACTCTACGCCTGTTAACTCGCAAGAGGAACTTGTACGACGAATCCGGAACGCTGCTCTCAGAATAACTCCACATCATTTGAGAGACGTTAGGCGGTCTTTGATACGTCGCTATAATTTGTGTGTAGAACGAAATGGCGGGCATTTCGAACAGCTCCTTTGAGGTCTATTTATACAATAAGTTGTTTTTCCATACCGTGTTGTTTATTTTTTTTATTATCTTACAATAAACTGTGTGAACTGTCTAAACAAAGCGAGATAGGAAAATAAAGTAAATAACAAAAAAGTTGTATTTTTAGCTAAATCTGAGAAAAATTCAAACTTACCAAAAAGCAGTGGCGTACCATATTTTTTCCTATTTTTATCAATCCGGTATCTTGTGATGCCACTGGAGAAAATAGGACAAATTAAATTATGTGAGAAAATGAGTATTATTATTACACACAAAGTTGTCAAGTTTCAACAAAGTCTAAAAAGGGGTTTTCGTTTTACGAATAAAAAATCAATTCTCATTTTAAACTTGAACACTGTAAATCGAAAACGAGGCATCTATACATATATGTTTACATGAACTTTTTTTTAAAGGACTTTTAGTACAAGTTGTGAAAGTCCTGCTACAAAAAACGCGGACACCCTGTATAATTCGTAACATAATTTGTTGTTTTCGTGATAGTTTTTTGAGCATAAGGGTTTATTTAATTCCCCTTTAAATTTTTAACAGCTGACAAAATACTCAAAACGGAAAAAAAATCTAGCGCGATAGTTATAAAAGGCAAAAGACTTTATTATTATTATTATTATTATTTATTCATTCGGAAGTGCAAATTTTTTTGCATGTGGCTAGTTTTTTGCTAGTAGACAGGGAAAAAAATGTTCTGCACGGGAGCGGACCGGGAAAATTTGGGAAATGGCTGGAAAACAGCAAAAAATGTATTTCGTGAATAACTTGAAACGTATTAGGAATTTCACAAACATGCAGAGAACCAAAGTTATACAGCATAGAATTCTCTATAAAAAAGGTACGTATGATATTTTTGAGGAAATTGAATTTGTCCCGTAATTTTAATTTTTTATTCTATACAAAATTTTAAAATATTGATTTTTGAGATTGTTTTTGAACTTTTCTCTTTTTTATATTATATCATTGAAAAGACCAAAAAAATATCTATTTGCTCAGCTTAAAATTCAATAAGGCGTCCATAAGAAATAAGAAAGTTGATGATGGTTTGACGCAACCGAAACGTGAATAAAAATCTAAATATACCTACAGTGATATTCCTCTAAAAATCTTGCTGTGAAAACGTTTTTTCAGACTTTAAAAATTCCTATAAATTGAAAAAGGTACAGACGATTTTCGAAAACGCCACATGTACTTGTTTTCAAAATAACTCAAAAACCAGAAGAGTTAGGACCGATCTGTAAGCGCCATTGAGTTAGCAACAGAACTGTCTAAAATATCCAAGATACTAATACGTGCATCACCATAATGATCCACAGTGTATGTACAGGGCGTTGTAAATAACTGAGAAATATTTTGGGGGGTAGTTGCCGAAGTTATTTTGTGAAAAAGAGTTTATATAAACCTAGGTCGAAATATGCCTCGTTTCCGAGATACAGTGTTTAAATTTAAACTTTTTATTTATTTTTATTAATTAATTCAAAGAGTTTTAAATATATTGAAACGAAATTTGATGGTTGTATTTTATTTAGAAATTTGGACATCAACCCACTAGATAATGTATCAATAGAAATTAAAAATACACAACTTGCATTAAAATACGTTTTATTTTTTTCCCTCTAAAACGGTGTATCTTACGAAAAAATCAATTTAATTCAGAATTGATGGTGGATTTCTAAAAAAATATCAAAACGGAAAAACTCAGTGGCGCACTATTTTTTTACTAAAAGAAGATTGTAGATACTTGCACGAACGTTACTGCAAGTAGAAATATTCGGATCACCCCAATAAATGCACATTTATCTCTCCAAAGCGTTTTTCAAATTTCGATTCAATATCTTTAAAACTTTGAAATAATTAATAAAAATAAATAAAAAATTTAAATTTAAACACTGTATAACGGAAACGAAACATATTACATCCTACATGTATATAAAAACAGGCAAATTTTTGCTTTTGGAATCGATTCATACAAAATGCATGTCGCATTTCGGTTGGTTTTATATTGCTAAATATTTGCCCAATTTGCTTTAGTTGATTGGTTGTCTCATTAACTAAAAAAACCGCCAACTAACCTCAACTCGCGATAATCCCTCATAGTTTTCTTAAGGAAGGAATTATTTTTCCCTGTAAAATAGCACATAGAAGGAAAGTTTGAAGCTTGTGTCATGCACTTTCATCAAGAAACTAAAGAGTAGCCGCACATTTAGTGCAGCGCCGCAGCCGCTTTGAAATACGTTTCTGGCTGATTTGCATAAGATCGTCATTTTATGTAAATTCCTAAATATCTCCTAAATAACGCACTGTACGAAATAATCAATAGGAACCTTTTTTGTTCGGAATTTTATGCTCTACAAATTTGACCCTTTGCATGTTTGTAAAATTCTCAATGCTTTTCAAGTTATTCACGAAATACGTTTTTTTTTGTAGCTATCCGGCCATTTATTTTCCCGAACCGCTTTTTCATTTACTAGCAAGATACTAGTCAAGTGCAAAAAATTGTACATTTCACAATCACTCAAAACCTCTATTACTGTACTAATATCTAATTCGGCTAAAAAAATAACATTTGAACACTCAAAATCAGTCGAGTAACCCTCGACTGATTTTTTTGAAAATAATTTTGCCTGGTCAAAAATCTCATCGCGAGTTTCCGCTTCGTTACAGGTTCCATCTTCTACCTACCTTGCTGTACTGCCCCAGGACGTACTTCAGGATGTTCGAGGGCGCGTCGTATAACAGAGGCTCCAAAGCCGATATCAGCAAACATTTTTGCAGGCACATCTTCAGCGTGGTCTTGCACTTGGTCTTCAGGTCCTCCGAGGAGTCTTTGTTGAGGTAGAGGGCCAACAGCCTACAACGCAAAAAGGTACTTAGCGCCGCCGTTCCGAAGACCGCAAGGCACAGTGTGATATGTAACATCAACCTAATAATAAAAATAAATAATACATGCATCTAATAGAAATAAAGTGCCACTAGATTGCGAAATTATCACACAGTGCAATGATCGGTCCGAAAAACGCTATTTCCATCGGCAGATTTGTTATCCTCGTGACAGATTCCATGGCCTACCAACCTGGGCAGGAGGTTGGCTGCAGCGACGCCCTGCGCGTGCTCGGGGGTGTGTTTGCCGATCTGCCCGACTGTCCACGCCGCCACCGAGAGGAGGGCGTCCTCCTGCGACTCTTCCAGGATCTGGGCCAGCATGACGATGGCCTTGCAGCCGATGACCGATATGGCGAGCTGCTCCGAGTGACCTGTCCGGGTTAGAAAAGTCAAAGGTGAGTCATTTGCATCGTTTTTCCCGTTTCAAATTACGACAGGGCGATACACAACTTATCCAAAGAAATTTGGAAATAGAGCCAATATCGTAATTTTTTTTTGTAAAATCCTTATAGTTTCCGAGAAAAAAATTATTGTAGTATTTTCAACATTTACGTCGCTGGGCTACTGGTCTCTAGCGTCATTCACCCACGTGGCTCCAGGCGATTCCAAATACTGTAATCCGTTTTTAGTATTATCATTATCGTTGTTGCGATAGTGTTTACATTAGTTTTTCAAGTATCAAAAATGGCTCACTTGTATAGCAACTCGGAGTTGATGGATATCGTTTTAATTTATGGTGAAACAAGACAACATTTGTGTTATGGTGAGGAATTTTGCAACAAACGTACGAATTAGAATCTTAGCCTGATTAAAAAAATTATTATTTTGTTGTATGGGTGGATGGTAATTTATTTGTAATTTTAAAAAATAACTGATTAGATTCGTTTACATCCACAGCTTTAAAATATGTATACTCGTCCTGAACAGTGATGCCAGGTTTGTCGATTTTTCCCTAGTTCTAGGGGAAAAATACTCCAAATTTGTCAAATTAAGGAAATAGGGAAATTTAAATGATCTCTAGGGACCTTAGTGCCAAATAAGGAATTTCAGACTAATAAATGTTTCTTATATGCGTCAATGCATTGGATACTACTAAAGTACATTTATAAAAGTTATTGGGGAATTCTAGGGAATTTCCGCTTAACAACTAGGTATTTTCCCCCATACCCATCTGGCACCACTCTCGGCCAGTCAAAGCACATCCACCCCACATCAACGCACGGTCTCGTGGCGTGGCATTTAGGTTCTCGGAAATGTCGATAACCGCTGAGGGAAATCACGGCTCATTACTTCCTTTCCGCGACGTTAATTTCGCAATATTACAACCCCGCAACGACGAGGCGGCCCTGTTTTACCTGAAATGTATCCCAGAGCCGTGACGACGGCTATCTTTGTCGCAGTGTCGTCCTTGTTTTGGTAGAGCGTCTCCATCAGGGCGCCGATGCCTCCGGTGTTCACCACCAGCTGCGTCAGCTCCAGTGAGTGCTTCACTATGTCCCTGGGGAACGAAAATATGACTAAATATATTTTTTTAATTTTTATTTGTGTATTTTTAATTTGGAGAAGAATAATAATTTTGTGACGTGGCAATTCAGGAAAATCGTTTCAATGCTCGCAAAGGTCGCAAATAAGTTGTTGTAATGTTAAAGTGTTTAGAACGTTTAAAAATTAATAAGAAAATTTATATTTTTAAGTTTTAATACGTTCGTAGGTCCCTAATGGTTACTTTTCTGTGAGAATTTTTTGAAAAGTAAAAATAGCTACATCACTTGCAAAGTATTATTAACGTTGGCATTTATTTATAAATATTCTGTACTTACTAAAATTTAGAGTAATTTGTAAAAGTGTGCCTCAAGGCACACTTTTAAGACCTTTACGTTTTATAATATATGCGCTAGATAAAAACGAGAATTTTCCAATATCTATGGCTCCCAAACCTACAGTGACATCTCTTAAAAATTAAAATGGTCATATTTTGATAATGGGGGTTTTGTAGGGGACGGTTTCTGGATAGAGAACTGTGATGACAAACCAAATTTAGGGAATAAATAATCCAGATAAGTATGGACGATCCTGAGATCTCGAAAAAGGTTGTGCATACATTTGTGCAAGATACAGGGTGTTCCTGAATAAGTGTCGCAACGGAAAACTGTAAATTCTTCTTGAAAGGAGAAACATACTTTTCCTCTTCCATTTTTCTCTCCGGGCTTTCGTTTTCGAGATACACGGTGTCAAAACTTTTTTCCAGATTTTTGCCAATATCTTAGGAACCGTTTGAACTACAGGACTGAGCTACTTGTTGCAAATGTTGTTAAATTTCGTTAAAATTGTTAATTATTACTACCTATCTTTTGAATCACAAAAGATTTTCGAAACGTTAGCAAAATGGTTGTTTTTGTTCGTAGAAAGTCATTTTTCTTGAAAACGGTTGACTTTAGAGCAATGAACCAAGAGAACTCTTATTGTGTAAAATTCATTGGCGCTTCAGAATTTGCTGTCACATGTCAATTTTTCCAGTGGCGTAAAAGTGGGGAAAACCCTGACGATACCTTAAAATCTCCACCGCTGGCACGTTCAATGAATCCGAGAAGGGTGCGAAAAAGTAGCTATTAATAGTGGTAATGCGTGTACAAAAACTCAGTCCTGTAGTTCAAACGGTTCCTAAGATATTGGCAAAGAATTAAAAAAAAATGAAAATTTTGACACCGTGTATCTCGAAAACGAAAACGCGGAGAGAAAAATGGAAGAGGAAAAGAATGTTTCTTTTTTCAAGAGGAATTTACAGTTTTCCGTTGCGACACTTATTTAGGAACACCCTGTATATTGTTATTGCCAGAAGGCGTCACAAATTAATCGCCTTTCTTAAGGGAATGTTAATATCGAATTTGATTGTATCTATCAATTGATTACGAAAAAAAATATATTTTGCAAATATTTGTGCAACCATATTTAAATTTTTGTATTTCGTCAATTTCAATTCGAAATTTTTCCATCGCGAATATATCCGAATATAAAACCAAAACTGTTTGTAAATTACCTGACCAGGCGGGCGGCGTTGCATCTTACCATTGGACACGGATGGGCTAGGTGCAATAGCACGCTGGGGAATATCTCGGCTTCTACCACGACCTCAGCTAGTTCAGAATTGTGTTTGGCACAGGAACCTGCAGAATCATTCGAATAAAATACGACGGAAAGGTCCTTATTACAACACCAACCTGTTCTTTTATATTTTTAATGCCAACACCCTGTATACAAATTTTTACAGAGGATTTTGATCTAATCAAAAAGCGAAACCATGTTATTTACAGTTTTACTTACTCAAAGCTGGTAACGATTAACAGAAATATATTATGAATTCGATGAATATCTTCCAATCAATTAAAATATACCAAAATACAGGGCGTCAATATCGTAGAAAAAATTATTGTAAAATCCATATAGCTTCCGTGAAAAAAAAATTTAAAGTTATAGTATTTTCAACCCTTACATTGCTGGGCTACTGCAGTCTCTAGCGTCATTCGAGTTGTGCGCTGTGCGCAATGCGCTCTCTCTCCGGATGGCCCAGGCGATTCCGAATACTGAAATCCGATTTTCGCGATAGTGTTTACATTAGTTTTTCAATTGACAAAAATGGCTTACATGGATAGCAACTTGGAGTTGATGGGTATCATTTTAATTTACGGTGAAGCAAGACAACATTTGTGTTATGGTGAAGAATTTTGCAACAAACGTACAAATTAGAATCTTTGCCTGATTAAAAAAATTATTATTTTGTTGTAGAATCATTTCATACCAGTACATTATTCTGCACAAAAAAAATAAATATATTTTTCATTTGAGAGCCCGTTTTACAGATACAAATTCTTTTAAGTTGAGAAAAATTGTTTTTTCTCAAACAGCTTTGAACCCACAACCATGTAATCTTGTACAAAGGGGTTTCTGAAGGTGCTGATTAAGAATGTCTTAATAGTTTTTTCTAAAAAAAACGCTAATATTTATTTTTTGAAAAATTGGACACATAAATATCTAGGATGGATGATCTTAAGAAAGGTGTAAGTTAGAGGACTTACTAAGGGCAGTGAGTATCTGCCTCTTGAGCTTCTCGTCCGTGTTGTTGAGGTTCTTCACCAGGTAGTGCACGACGCCGGTGTCCACCACGTTCTGCGCCAGCCCCTCGCTGTGCTTCGCCACGTCGGAGATGGCGCTGGTGGCGATGTGCTTCAGGGACACCTCCGGCTCGTGGAGGCACAGCATCAGCAGCGGTACGGCGCCCGCGTCCGCGCAGGTCTGGGCCAGGCTCCTGTTCTGTCTGGCGATGTACCCGATGCCCCATGCCGCCGCTTCCTTTATCTGAAACCGCGAGCGATGTATTTTTTTATTTCGTTGCTGGTGTCGCTAACGCTTACGCTTGCTTCGAAGTCTTCCAGGCACGCGATGAACGCCTGGAGACCGCCGGCGGCTATGACGGCGTTTGCGCAGTCCACGTTGTGTTTGCATATGGACCGCAGCACGAACAGAATGGACTGCTTTTGGTATTTCTTAAAAAAATGCATTATTCTTATGAGAATAAATGTGTAAATAAACTCTAAAAACACTTACGGTTCCTTCATACAGAGAAGTAAGCAAAACGGGTATGATATTCTTGTTTATGACCTGAACTGCGATGGTTGCCTCGTGGTGCACTAATCTTCCAAGTGCCAGAGCAGCGCACTGAACGACTTGCGGGCTCGGATCGCACAAGAGCGGCCTAACTAATTCTGTAAATTACGAAATTCGTCGAGTTCAAGCACCATTGAATACGTTAAAAACTACCTAATACTCCCGTCTTCTCTAGCAGTATGGTATTCTGGGGCTTCAACGCTAGATCAGCAAGGGATTGCACGAAAGCCAACCTGGCTCTCTGGTACTGATCGAAAACCTGTATAATATTCCGGCTTGTCATTCTTTAAAATTATACCAGCAAACGTCACATTTGACTTAAAATGATCCTGTACGTGGTCGCGTTCCTACCAAAACGCAACCAACTGCGACGGTAACAACCGGTTGCGTCGCCAAAATTCGCCTGACCGTGAAAGTAGGTCACTGTCACCGGTAAGGTTATCCTAACCTCCAAAAAAGCTGTTTTTTTATTTTTAAATCGCGTATATAAATGAAAATGTTAACTGTTGATTAGTTTACGTCGAAATATCGTAACATGGCTCTAAGAATAACCAGTGCTTTCCAGCAACTACCTCACAGGGCTAACTTAGGGATTAGTTTTAAGGTAAGTGAATATAGATTTTTGGTTCAACCAGCTGTGTTTGTAATATACTTTTTCAGGCATTATACTCGGCCAAGAGTACATCTGAAGTACCTCGAAATGTATTAGAAAATGTTATATCGGCTGATAAACAAAGAGAAAATGGTGCTGTGTACGATAAAAAACCTTTCAAGATGACTCTAGAAGCAGGTAATTTTTCTTTAACGATAATTTAATATATGGGTTTCATAGGAACTGCACGTGTCAACCTTGCAACTAAAAAAACATTAAAGATAATATGGTTTGATAAGATTTCTTAGTAAATATCCTTTTTGTGCAAATATGCGTGAAGGTTACCCCAGATTTGATGAATATTTTTTCAAGGGCATGACTAGCAAATTTAATATTTATTTAGGATTATTCTTAATCAAAACTGCTACGGTTGTATCAAACATTGGTTCTCTATTAGTTGTCCAGAAATAAGAAAGCAAGAATAAATATTACCTTCTCGGTTTCCCCTTTTTTTAACTGTAATTTTCTCTCGCACAGTTTTATTTATATTTTTGTTTCATTCAAAGTCATCCAGTCGCGTGAATATATGTATGTAGTGGCGGTGAAGTAGCGCACCACTCTTAAATATGTCTGATTTTTATTGCTAATGGTTAGTATAGTTGTTACGATCTCAGTTGGAACCGCATAAAAACATTTAACTCATAAATTCTACGGAATCCATAGACGTCCAGAAAAATTTTTGTTTCTAAACTTTCGACCGATTCCAGTATTTGGGGATTTTCCCGAGTTATTTCGTTATCCTCCGCTTCAAAGAATCTCCAGAGAGCCACGCTAAATTACTAGATAATTACATATAACTATTGTTTTATAACTATTACCCTTTACTGGTTACGATATGAACAAATAATAATATCAACTAATAAATAATAATACGTATTATACGAACAACATACCTCGCCAAGCAATGCTCTGCACTGCACTGGCAAAGCGGCAAAGCTAAGTGAACCCGTGTACCATACAAAAAAATTATTTACGACCTAGTAGACCAATACAGGTTTGCTTTGGTGACCAGCGCGCCGCCGTCAATTCTACATCAGGCGGACTAGTTTACCAATACCGGACTTGCCGAATTGTTATTCGAGTATAAATTACGAGACACGTCATGGTCAAAGCATAGGAACAAATTTCAGGAGAAGTGCACACGGTCCTGTTATACTACCAATATTAGATCGGGAAATGTACTTTTAAATTACATATCGACCAATTTTCTCAGAAATCGAGTGGGCGTGTGTTAGAAGAATGTTTTTGGTTGGATTTTAACTAGCTGGTCGGGAAATGGGCAACCTGTTTCAAATTTCTTTCTATTTTTATTTAAATTATGATCCAATATCTGTTTTTGATCACTTTATTCGAATTCCTTTATTTATTTTATAATTTTTAACCAAACAGGTCGTATATGTATTTAGTAGACAATCTTCCCTTAATCTATTGAAATTTGTTCTTTATGGCAACAGTCACAAAAATAAAGAAAAATTATGTTTATTCTTGTTTTCTGAAGATATTCTCCAAAAATTTGTTCATTTTTTTGTTAGTTTTGAAAGTCTATTTCATTCGGGTGTGAATTACTGTTTTCAATTAAGGGGAAATAATCAATTACAGCGATCAGAAAATCGATTTTTTTTTTTATTAAACTGTATGTGAAGAATGTATTCTGAAAGTTTGAAAGGGAAATTCGGAAAACTCCGATAGTTACAGCCCGTAAACTTTGTGCATGTTCATTCGGGTTCAGAGCACACACCACAGGTAGAAGGATAATTAACCGTTTTCGGGCGAATTTCGGAAAATAGCCGCCCAAGTTTGTTCATAGTTTATAGTTGCCATTTTACCCTGATTTTTCAGGTGTTGAAACTTTAAACACGTTTTTCTCAAAACTACATTTCTGAAACTGGTGTACACGATTACGCAAAAACTATTAAAACAATTGAGTTTCCCCTTGGTAGAAATGTTGATAACATTATTACCGTCTTTATGACGGAAATTGATATTTTTTTAATACAAATTCTGCAGAAATTTCGCATGAAAATTCGATTTTGGTCTTTAAATGTGTGCGTTTTTTCAAATTTACAATTTTTCAATTTTTCTCAACTTCACATAGAAACTACAAATGTTTTAAATAAGAAAACTTTTGTATTTTGATGCAGATCAAATTTCACAGGGAGCTAGGCTGTACACCATTTTGGAAGTCGTGCCGCAACCTTGCTGTGACTCTCTACCACAGCTCCCCCATTTTGACGATGAATGAATTAAAAAAAAATGTTCTTTATACTTGTAATATCCTATTAAAGAGTACCTACAGTCCGATGTATGTAGAATGAATATTTCTTAGTTTAAAGATTCCTCAAAATTGATGCATTTGCCTCTGTCTAATTGTATATGTCACCTTAGTGGTGGTCGAAAGATGAAATATGTATGATCGGAATTGAGCACCAATTAGATAAATACAAGTGAAAATGGGCTTCCAATTATATTTTCATTAAAAAATATATTTCGTATCGTACAAACAAAATTACTTTAATATTTAGCTATTTCAGAATCATTGTTTATTAGATTTGCAGGCAGTTGAGACCAAGATAAGGATTAAGTAAAAAAATCTACTAATTATTCGAAAACCAGCCAAAAAAAAAATGTAATATATTTTTTCTTGTAGGGAAGCGATATTCATGGTGTCTATGCGGGCGAAGCAAAACTCAGCCCCTCTGTGACGGTACACACAAACAGCAGCAGCTAAAAATTACTCAAAAGTATGTAAACACACGTGCCATTTCCTTGATGTAATTCATACATTTTAGGCCTGTACGTTTCCAAGTAGAAGAAACCAAGGATTATTGGTTGTGCAATTGTAAGCATACAAACAATCGTCCCTTTTGCGACGGCACGCATAAAACTCCAGTCGTTCAAGAAGCGACGTCCATTGTTAGGCAATAATAAATTTTATTATCTGTAGTATAAGACGTATATTTAAAATAAAAACGTTCCAGACAAGTGTGTTTAATTATCACTATAATAACAACTTAGCTAACTTAACTAAACGAAATTTATTACTTCTACATTGATTGTCTTTATTCATAAATTAAGTATAAAATCACTACGTTTTACTCGCCGACTGACTTTTACTTTGTTCGGGATTGTTTACTTCGTGGTCTAACCTTTCTTTCGCTCGAACGATCTTCGATTGTAGATACAAGGAGGTCTTTTCGTTAGCTTTGTACAACGCTTGGAATTTTTCCTCTATTTCCTCTTTACTTAAATCTTTAATGTTGAGGATCTGCTTGGCCTCCTCCAGAGATAATCCTAGCTTTTGGTTTGCCATCCTTTCCGATCTGGTTTTGGCACTCCCTCCTAGCTTTTGAGCTGCCTGCTGGGAAGCCTCTATTTCCTGTTTTATGGCCCTCGCGAACGCCTTGGCTACTACCTGCGTCCCGGCCACTATTAGCTGTGCTATGTACCTTGCCATTTCCTCGTTTTTAACTGTTTATTCGGTTAGTATGTGTCGGTTTCATCATATAACCTCCAAGTAGAACAACTTGACATTTTGTAGGTTATACAACACCAGTGAATTCGCTAAAGAAACAGACGGTTATCATTGAATATAAAATGTTAGAGAATGTTTCCATTGCTATCTTTCTCTTTGCAGGATATTGATTGGCTCGTATGATTCTCTGACACTCTGACATCAGTCTACCAATTGCGTAGCAGTATAGAAAAGGAACGGATTAGTTCTCCTTTGGTTTTTGTTTTCCGGTATACATTTCAGTCTAGATATACCATTTCATAGCATCGAGTACTGCCAACATTAGGAACATAAAATTACTAATGCTTAATTCAAGTTACGCTTTGTATTGATTTTTAATTGTATGTAAACGTTGATTTTTATTTTCAAGTATTCTGTGTGCTCAAAGGGTAGTTGTCGTACATGTTTGCTATTTATAATGTCTATTATTTTTTTGTTTTCGTAGTGACGTCACGGGTTTAAGTGTTTATCGCATAAATGATGTTTCTTATCGCTGGTAACTTTCTTATGAAAGAAATGATTAATTATACGTTAACTGACCTTTGTGATAAACTTTTAATACATTAAATTGTCTGCATGATATGAACGGTCATTCATGTGACGATTATTGTCCAGTACTGGACTGATAATAATCTACAAAATGAAATATTTATTTTAACTACAATTGTGTCAAAAATTACAGTTTTTTTACGTAATATCCAATGGCTTCTATAAGAACTTGTACGGTAAATGTTTTTATTGCACTTTTTATACACAATTCCAATTAAAAGGTCTGTTAGTAAGAATATTACTATTTTATTCTTTATTCTTATTTAAGAATGTGTGCAACAGTTGTACATATAAAAAAGTAGTTATTACTTTTGTAATTACCTAGCATAATTTTTAATAAGACTTCTAAGTAGGAAGTAGGTAAGAAAGTAACAGATAACTCCGCGTTGTAGACGGAATATCAGTAGTTGTAACGGTATTGTTTGAAATTGCTCCACTAGCTCTGCAAATTTTGTGTGTTCATTCGAATAAACCATAAGGATGAATTTCACACGCAACCTCATACCGCAAACAACTCGCTCTTTAATTGGCAGTTGGCACTTAGATCATTGAACAATGACTTGGGTTACCACAGATGTCACAGTAATAGAAATTGCCGGTAAAAGCTCGTACTGTATTACCCACAGTTTACGACTAGCGCCCTCGCTAACGGTATGGTGAACTACTACTCTTTATAAGCCGTTTGACACTCCCCATGGTTGCAAATGATCGTCTAAAGTTATGACATGCATCCTCCTGTGGATTGGGCAATCCAAGATATCTAACAGTTTTCTTCGATATTTTCCCAGAGGTGTACTAGTGCCTGTCGGCTGGGCATACCACTTTCCAGTCTTTCTATTGCGGTGCTAACAAACAGTCGATCATGTTTTGTTATTAGTAACTTAAAAAGCATACCTGGGGTATATCTAATATTATCACAATGGAAATTAATTCTTTGTAGCAATTCATCCCTTATCTGTACTGGGGTTGCGTTGTTCAGGTATCCCCACAGGAAGAAGTCCATCAGGTTAAAGTCTGGAGAACATGGCGGCTATGAAATTGGTCCTCCTCTCCTAATCCATGTATTATTAAACATAATGGATAAATAATTTCGTATATCAATATTGAAATGGGGAGGAGGCCTATCGTACATGAACCAAACGTTTCTTCTGGTGTTAGTCAATAGGTAGAAGAGCTTACAAAAAATACCACCTGGAAACAAAAAGTATGGTAATATAGGAAAAAAATTCTAAGAAAGATAGTGTATTTTTCCTTGAACTCCAATCGAAAAAAGTTAAATAGGAAAGTTGTAGCTATTAAAAAACCTATAGATTAGTACTTTTAAATATATTGATTGCTATATTACTTTTCGAGATATATCGAAAAAACCGTCAAAAATCGACTTTTTTTATTTTTGCTGTATCTCTTGCCAATTAAGGTTTTTGAAACTTGCTGTAAATGTAGCCCTCGACAAACAAAAAAGTGCCCTTTTTAAATTAAAAAATATTAAAATTTTTTCGAGATATCGATTTTTCGAGAAAGTCTTCTCGAAAATCGGCTCTTCTTGTTCGACGAATAGTCGTAGGGAAACGAATCAAGACTCATTTTTTTTCTTAAGAGTTGTACTTTCATAGTAACAAAGAGGTACAACGATTTTATTCATTTCAAGTGTCCAAAAATGACTGAAAAAAGTTAAACAAATTTGTTCGCGTTTTTCTTGAATATCTTTCGATTTTCATTTCACGATAATGTCTATTACAGGAATCGCTTGCATTTTTACGTAAATTTAAAAAATTAATTAGGTTATTATTAAAATTAATATGTTTTTTTATAGCTACAACTCTCTCATTTAACTTTTTTCGATTGTAGATCGTTTTTTTTTATTAGCGAAAAACCGTTTTTTTTTACTTTTATGGTTTTTTTAAGTTAATTTCGCCGTTTATGCGCCATAGGAAAAATACATTATCTTAGAATTTTTTTCCTACATCACCATATTTTTTGTTTCCAGGTGGAATTTTTTATAAACACATTAGGCCGTGACAGATTGATTGGACTATGTCTAATGGAACATCGTCTAATAGTGGCTGCAAATTATTTTGCAAAAACCCAAATATCCAGAAATTGTTTTCCGTGTACAAACAAATAACATTCGTAAACTTAGGAAGTGTGTAAAGGTGGCAGGTGCCCATATTGAAAATGTATAGTTATCTTATTTTTTTTTTAATAATTTTTTTAACTTTAACTTATTCTTGTTTTGTTTTTCTGTTTTGTGTTATGTGTAAAGTGTGTTTGTCAAACTTTGTTAGTGGAAATTACATTAGCAGATAGTAAGATTTTCTAGGCTCTTATTTTAAAAATATGTACGGCATAGTAATTACGCCCAATTAAAAATTAAAAACAAAAAATTGTGGGAGCGCCGCTCGATGTGCAATGTGATATTGTGACAAATCACAAACTGTTATTTTTACTGATTGTGAGATGAACCAAGAGGGTATTAATGTTGGGGTGGTTAACCATTGGGCATAGTCCGTCCCTGGCGTTTTGGGCATGACGAAGTTTCATTTACAACATCAAAAACAAGCTGTACGCATCTGTTATCGATCACCAAATTTGCATCACGCTGAAGTTAATGGTTTAGAGTCTGTAAATAATAATAAGATTTTAATTTTCAAATTTGAGGGCCCGTAACTTGTTAACGAAGGCCCGTATGAAAAAAATATATATATGAAGAACTGATATTATTTTGACCTCATCTATTTGTACTCGACTATTTTGTATCAAGTACCGGGGCACCCTGTATATTTTGAATAAATAAAAAATAAGAATACGTATTTTCCATAAATTTCAACCATATTTTTCGTCTCTCGCTTTGACGTCAATAACAAAAGTTCAAGGTTTATTGGTGTTTGCGTTGGAATTTTAATCAAACTGTTCCTGCAGTGACTTTTTCCACTAGTATCTTTACATAAATAAATTTTTGCACAAGGTATTCAAATCGCGATGAATGATCTAACTTGTTGGGTTTCCAAAATTGGTAATTTAATTCTAAATCCGACCCTGCCTTTGACTTTTGACTTGTAAATCCTAATCACTAATCAGCGTAGCAGCGATTGGAAATCGTAATTTATGCACTCATTTACAAGTTCATCTAACCCACGCTGGTATCGGGCGATTGTGGTTTAATATGAGATTATTTAAATAAAATAATACACGAACGGTCTACACAAACAATGAATATTCCACGCTGTTGTTGACCTTCGACTCTGTTGGTAAATCGCTATCAGTTTCACGTATCTACCTCTACCATATTTCTTGAAGTTCGAAGATAAACGTGACGGAGTTAGGGCCTTGCGCCGATAAGAAGAAGTCAAAATAGAGATATTGTGGCTATAATAAACGGTTCGGCGTAATGAATGAACCACTTGGGTCGTAAATTTTGCGTGGTAGAGACGGGACCTCGGTTGTTTTGGTAATACTGAGGATGGATAGGATCAGGAACGGATGGTTTAGTGAAATATCCAACCTGTGGCCGGGACAGTGCTTCTCGCTCGAGGTGAAGAAGGTCTTGTGCGTGGACAAGTCCGATTATCAAGATATTTTGGTTTTCGAATCGTAAGTAATGTAAATATTTGTTTTTAATTTTTATTTGTTTACTTTTACTGAGATACAGGGTGTTTCGGAAGTGCGGAGGGCGCATACCAATCTCGAAAAGTTGGAAAACCAGGAAAATTAGCAGACCTAGTTAATAATATTCTCATTTCAGTTTTTTTAACCCTTACCGAACTGAATTTAATCGACTTCTTTTTAAATAAAGTCCAATTTGGCACCCATATTAAAAAAAATTGTTATTTTCTCGAAAATTATGGCTAAAAAATGAAATTAACAACGCCATATTTTTGGAAAAAGAACTGGATATATCACGGAAATTTTTGGTAAAAACTTGTACTCTTATTTCTACGACAGAAACTAGCACTGGTCCAAAATCGTTTCTGCGCTGTGTTCGAAACATCCTGTATATTAAAGTCGCAAATGAAAATAATAAGATCTATAACATGCACTATTTTTAGGAAGAATAATGGGATCACACTAGTATTAGACGGTATTATACAATGTACGGAAAAAGACGAGTTCTCCTACCAAGAAATGATAGCATTTCTGCCACTTTGTGTTCACCCTAACCCGGAAAAGGTGCTTATAGTAGGCGGCGGCGACGGTGGGGTCGCCAGGGAAGTGGACAAACATCCCCTTGTTAAAGAGATTGTTCAGGTAATGGTCGTTCAATCCGTGTGCCCATAAAACTACCAAAGCAGTAAAGGCAACAATAATTCACACAAAGCTTTCGTTGAGCGTAAAGTACACGCACCGGCTCGTAATGTCCAATAAATAAATTAGGGCTTACAGTGATAAAAAATTGGAAAAATAAATTACATACTTTAAATTTGTATTCATATAAAATGCTTTCAAATTAGAACAAATTTTATATCTGCGAAAAATGTTGAAAGATTTTGGTTTCTCATTACATAATTCACACTATTAGAAACTCTACGAATTATTATGGAGGTACTCTACGCACTTAGGTACTTTACACATTATTATCATATACTTCACACACTACTACCACATGCTTTACGCACTATCATGTGCTTAAAGTACTATCGGGTACTTTACGCGTTATTACGTATTTTACACACTACTGTGTACTTTACGCCACTGTCGTGTACTTTACGCAACTACAGTGTACTGAACGTAGTATTGTGTATTTTATGCGATTTTATATACCTGATATATTGTATTTTACGATCCATGGTGTAATTTACACATAATTGTGTACTTTACGCCACTGTCGTGTACTTTACGCCACTGTCGTGTATTTTACGCACTACAGTGTGCTTTGCGCACTACAGTGTACTGTACGTAGTATTGTGTATTTTACGCGATAGTATATACTTGTAATATTGTACTTTACGATTCATGGTGTATTTTACGCATAATTGTGTACTTTACGCGTTACTACGTATTTTGTACACTACTGTGTACTTTACGCCACTGTGGTGTACTTTACGCACTACAGTGTACTTTACGCACTACAGTGTACTGTACGTAGTATCGGGTATATTACGCGATATTATGTACTTATTATATTGTACTTTACGCTTCAAGGTGTACTTTACGCATAATTGCGTACTTTACGCGTCACTGCGTATTTTGCACACTACTGTGTACTTTACGCACTACAGTGTAATGTACGTAGTATTTCACGCGCTATTGTATATACTTGGTATATTGTACTTTACGCGTCATGGATGTACTTTACGCGTAATTATGTACTTTACGCGCTATCATCTGTTCTAGGTGGAAATCGACGAGAAAGTCGTCGCCGCCAGCAAAAAGTACATCCCCTTCATGTCGGAGGGCTTCAATTCCCCGAAGCTGACGTTGAAGATATGCGACGGTTTCGAATTCATGAAGAACCACATCAGCGAGTTCGACGTCATCATCACGGACTCCTCGGATCCCATCGGACCGGCGGTTAACCTATTCACGGAGTCGTATTTCAGGTTGCTGAAGGGCGCCCTCAGGCCAAACGGTGGGTATAACCGGATTGTGCGGGGATGCGGCGGCCTATCATTATCTATTTGTTTCAGGTATTATTTGTTCGCAAGGCGGTTCGATGTGGTCGGAGCTGGACCAGCTCAAGCAGACCCTGGAGAATTGCAAGAAGCACTTCAGGACCGTTCAGTATGCCACTTCAAGTGTTCCCAGTTACCCGGACGGGCAGATAGGGTACGTGCTCGCTGCCTTGGACGAGGGCGTGGATCTGAGAAAGCCTCATTATAGGTTCACCGAGGCTCAAATCGACGAACTTAAGCTTAGGTACTACAACGACGATGTACATGGCGCCGCCTTTGTGTTGCCGAATTTTATCAGGCGGGTGATTTGTAATCAATAAAATATTTGTTTTAAACAGTTTTTTTTTCATGTGTATATATTTGTTTTGGTTATTTCAGAGTTTTTTAGTAATTTTATAGCTTCATACAAATTCGGCGCTCGTTTGCGCATGCATTGGCGCGCTAGAGGAGAGGGGGACATTGCGCAGTGTTGCCAATTCGTGGGGAATTTCCCATATTGTGGGGAATTTATAAATAAAGTTGTGGAAATTGGGAAAATGCCGGTCGGTGTGGAGAGATTCCATATAAGGTTATTAACGCAAGAGAATATTTCTCTTGTTTTGATTTTTTATTATCTGAATAAGCAACTTTCATGGAAATTTAATTTTTATTTAGAACTGCATAAATTTGTAGTCTACAACTAACAGTGGTAAAAAAGTAATTTCTTGAATGCTACAAATTAATTGATGTTTAAAATTATGTAATAATTCAAATTTTGTCACGTGAACAAGAACGCAATGTGACGTCATTTAGTGCGATCGAGAACACAACCTGCTTCCGTGCTAACAAGACGATACAAAGTGGATTGTTGTCTTTAGATTCCAGTAAGTGAGTTTGGCCGTTTCTAGGCTCTTATTACTTACTATGCTCATTTATCTGATCGATTCTCGATCGCACTAAATGACGTCACCAATTTGCGCGGCAGCAGACACCTGTTTAAAACTTTTATTATGCGCGCCAGACTAATAATTTATTAATTAACAATCTGTAAGAGATTTCTAATATTTTCATATCTTTGTGAAATTAAACGTTTTTATCCAAGTTCTATGCTTTTTGTTCTCTAATTCATGGTTATGTTACGTGGTTATGTGTATTCTGTGTTTAATCCATACCGTTATATGCTTCGTAGTTTGAAAAATGCATCGTTATGATGATAACGATCGATTAAAAACATTTTGAGGGTTGCTTTCGCTCTACAGCAAAAATAAAACGCTCTCTCAACGGTAATAATAAAGTATTTTATTGAAAACTAAGTTGTATAGAAAAAGACGTGTTGACGATTCGAGTGTTGGTGGGAGAGTCAGTCCTTGTGTGGAGTCGTTCGTAGGTATATGAGTACGCATCTGGTAGCCGGCGCCAGTAGACCCTTCCTGGAAGGTTGGTGCGTCCGACGGCGCTCTTGACGTAATGCTTAAAATGGGTCACTTGCGAACATGTGTACCCACAATTTAATATACAGTTAAAAACGAAGATATCAAAATGTATAGAGAAAAAAAAAGTTTGTAAAAAAGATGACATAAAATATTCAATATTTATTTACCGGAAGTTTCGAATAAAATTCATAAAACTTTTATTGTATATATGTTGAAGACACGGGGTGGACATGGGAATTAGTTTGGTCCATTGTCTCCATCGAAATAATAAACGGTTGACGTGATACTATTTATTACAAGTTCGAACACTAAAGTACGGGAGCTGCTATACAAGTTATAAAATAGGAACTAACGGTCCGCTACTGTCAGTCCTAGCAACCTGTTCACTACTTTTCTATCAAAACAATAATAACATTAATAGTAAAAGCCACACGGCTATGGTTGTTTCATCGATTGAATGATCCAGTTGCTTCCCGGGCTTTCAGTTTTGTTCCGTTCACAGGGGCGGTACCCAGTGCATTCCTTTACCCTATCAGTTTACTTTTTACCAAACATGACCATATAAGGAAGTGTTTACAAAAGTTAGATAATGATGGTGTTTCACACACAGGCTAAAACTTAACCCTGAAGAGATAACAATTTGGTACTCTAATATTTCTGTAACATAAATAAAAACAAGCCCTCAACATTCCATCGACCGTGACAGTTCTTCGAGTGGCTACGAATTCATAAGCGGTTACAAGGGTGATGCCGACATATATTTGGTTGCAAAATGCCGGAACAGGTCAATTTTGTTTCTATGGTTGATGTGACGCACGCGTAGGTGGCGCTAGTCGCGCTCCGGATATGACATCACGGATTTTTTTTTAAATAGCAAGGTATAGGGGGTGATACCTCGTTTGGAAAGCTCTTTCATCACGCACGATTAATTAATTATTTATGCATATCTAATTTTAAATAAACTAAACGGAAATAGAAAGAAATGCGAGACCTTAAAATTATGTGCAGGAAAAAATGTGAATTAATTGGTCAGTGTAGTAGTTACCACGTTGGCTGCACTAACGTTGCGGTTGTTGAAGCAGCCAGTAAAATAGCCACTTCTACTGGTCGTTGTGGGCACTGCCGTCTGAACCGCAAAGTCCGGTGCTTCAAACTTGCCTGTCTTTTGATGAATATTCCTAATTTTACGTCTATCATCTAGTACTTATTATTCCCCCAGTTGACATTATTTTATTTCATAAAATTTCACCTAAACAAACGACCCTGCTGTGTAGGTAGCGTTTATAGGTTCTCATGTTATTGAAAGTAACATATCTTTGATATATGGGAACAGATTTCTGTAAACACTGCAATAATATTTAATTATGGTTATTATTTTGCAATTTTTTTTAATTAAAAATAAACAATGGTTTAAAATCTCTCGTGATCTATTAACTGATTTTTTATTATCATTTTTTTAATGCTACGGCATTCGGCGATTTACAGCGACTCGTTATTTGTTTTTTTATCTAAACCCGATTCGAATGAAAAGGTTTCCGGTTATATCCAGTTTGTTCTATTTGAAATAATAAGGTTAGAGGCATGCATCGACTTAATCGACAGAGATTTATCTAGAATCCGTTTATTGGTTTTCTCTGTCAACCAGTTATTTGCTGAGTAGGATAAATTAATGGTTTTCGAATTAATTTATTCGCAATGCATTGATTAACGCCAAAGCTGATATTGTTGTATAGAAATTAATTACGAATTGATTGTTTTTTTTTTTAATTACTTGCTAAAAACGATCAAAATATGTGAAATAATTATTCGCGCTTATAAATCGAGCTCCATTTATTAGTCCGCTCTTAATCCAGTGCTTCCAATGGAGCGTGAAAGCTGAAACCTACTTCTTTAGCCACCAATAAAACAACAACAAATTACACATTGAACTGAAAAAAGTTCCGGTACATTGCGCGTCGTGCTCTATAGGCACGAAATCTCCCAATAACATTCGAGAACTAGACAAAATATTTGTTAAACAGCCAGTAGCAGCACGGGAGCGATTAAAATATCTGGCGGTATTATACTGGGTGGTCGCCCAAAACATATCCACCTTATTTTTCCCCTGATTCTTTCGATATGGGGATTAATTTGCAGTTGTTGGACTTCAGTAAAACATCCTGTATATCTTTATACAGTTCAAAAGATGTTTTAACTATTATATTTAAACGTACCCATAGCAATTGAAAAAATATTTTTGGCCTTTGAAATTATTTTTTTCTACAACTACGTGAAATGTAATGAATTCACAGACCAACAAAATTCAACTTTTTTTGGAAGCAGAAACTTGAATATATATTTCCGAAGGATTTGGGTGCGCTGAATCCGAATTCCTCTATCGCGTTAGGTTTTTGAGATATCCTAACCTAAAAGTGCAAAAACAGTTTTTCGTCATATTTGAGGTTATGTAGTAATGCCGTCTATATTTTTTCAAAAAACTAATACATTGAATCTAAAAATACAAGGCTCCCTCCTTCGAATGCCGTTGAGTTTGCTCAAATATCTTTTTTTTTCGTTGAGATATCACATGTTGAAATTTTTAAGTTTCTCAGTTTCTTAATATGCGAAAATCTACTAAGGATCCCTTAGACATCAAGCAGTCGATTGCAATTCGGAAACTTCATACCCATACGGTTTGTGGGTTTGGAGTTGGTGGGCTTGGGGTTTGTAAACTTGGAGTTTGTAGGTTCGGGTTTTGTGGGATTGGGGTTTGTGGGTTTAGGGATTGTAGATTTGGGATTTGTGAGTTTGTGGATTTGGAGTTTGTGAGTATGAGTTCGTATGTATTGAAGGTTTCTAAGTATGTGAACTGCAATCAACTGTTTGACGCTAAGGGATCCTTAGTAGATTTTCGCGTACCTATTAAGAAACTGATAAACTTAGAAACTTCAACATGTGATATCTCAACGAAAAAAAAGATATTTGAGCAAACTCAACGGCATTCGAAAGAGGGAGCCTTGTACTTTTAAATTATATATATTTTTTTTTTAAAGAATAGATGGCATTACTACATAACCTCAAATATGACAAAAAACAGTGTTTTTTGCACATTTAGGTTAGGATATCTCAAAAACCTGACGTGATAGAGCAATTCTGTGGCTAGATTCGGATTCAACGCACCAAAATCCTCTGGGAATGCATATTAGTGTGTCTGCTTCTTGATCCTTGTTGACCTGTGATTATTGAAATGGATTTTACTAGAAAACAGAAAAATAAAGTTTGCACCAAATTTGTTCTTATTTTCTGCATTATTTTTTATAACGGCCTTATTAGTTCCTGAATCGACTTGTTTTCAGAAATTATAATGTTTTTCTCGTAGAAGCGTACTAAAAAAGCGTGACTTTAGTGATGGATGTTTTCATTCGAATTATGGTACGAGGGAAAGTTGCAAAATTGTCAGGAATCGCTTTTCAACATAATGAACTGAAACTTTTCTTTATAAAATTTTCGCCTAGGGTTGAAATTATTCTTGGGCCGATTTGCAGTTTTCGTCTGCCCCTCGTATATATCAAATGTTTTATGAGGTTCGATGGGCGCTATTTTGATTTGACGACATGCAGAGACAACTGACAATCGAAGAAATTTATTAAATTTATACATAAAGTCTTTTCCCATATGGTGCAAACTTTTTGGATAACACTGTATGTTTGTTTCCTACGCCAATTTATCAGTAATTAATATTTTATAAACATTTTTATGCAAAAAACACAATTTTTTAGTTTTTTGCTTATAAAACCTAAACTAAGCAAGTAATCTGATTGTTATAAAGAGACAATCTTTAGAGAATCGAAATACGAATAAAACGAGAGGTCGATCGATCCGATCGGATAATTAGAAACGCAGATAACCCGGAAAAATCGGAAAATTCTACTTTTTTTTAAATT